GGGATGTTTGGTAGGTCTATAATATTTTTTTACTTATAATATTCCCAATTTATGATGGGTTTATCCCATTATAAGCCAAAGAGTATCTATACCCAATTTTATTTTCCTTTGTGATTTAAATCCATAAAGGGAATTTTCATTAGTGCATGTGTGCATGTGTATGTCTATGTGTGTGTATTAATTGTTGTTTTCCTGTGTTAGGGTTTCACTGTTCTACAGCCCAGGTTTGGCCTCATAATCCTCCTGCCTCAAGCCTTCCCAAGTATGGGATTGTTGGCATGAGCCATCACACCTGGCTTTGTATGTTTGTTGTGTTGTTCATTGGACTGGGGATTGATTCAACTTGGTACTTTCCACCACGTGAGCATGCCCCCAATCCTTTTGCTTTGTTTCTTTTTCAGTTAGGGCCTTACACTAACTTTGCCTGAATTGATCTTGATCCTCAATCCTTCCATCTCCACCTCTTGAGAACTTGGAGTATACCACCACACTTGGTTTTTTTTGTTTGTTTGTTTTGTTTTTTGGTGGTGGTTGTTGTTTTATTCGGTCATGGGGCTTGAACTCTGGGCCTAGGCACTGTCCCTCAGCTTTTCAGCTCAAGGTGAACACGTTACCACTTGAGCCACAGTGCCATTTCTGGTTTACTGGTGTTTTATTGAAGATAAGAGTCTCATGGACTTTCCTGCCCAGGCTGGCTGTGAACTGCAATCCTCGGATCTCAGCCTCCTGAGTACCTAGGATTACAGGCATGAGCCACCAGCACTCAACTACTTGGTTTGTTTTTGAGATAGGGTCTCATTGATTTTTTTTTCCTAAACTGGCTTAGACTCAATCTTCTTGATTCTTCCTCTTGAGTAGCTACAATTTACAAACATGAGCCACCACACCCAACTTTTATGGTTTTATTTATTTTATTGTTAATATAGAGGTGATGTACAGAGTAGTTATATTTCCATGAGTCAGGTAATGAGTACATTTCCTTATACAGTGTCATCTGTTCCCTCCTTCTCTCCCATTCCCTCCCTCCCATCTCCACCCATGGGTTGTACAGTTCATTTTCATCAATGTCCAGTGAGGTCTACTGCTGCACTTTTTCACCCTTTTTCCTCAAGTTCTGTACCCTCCCTACCACCCTCCCAAAGATACACATGTGAATACACCACATATAAGGTAAAGAATAGCGACTCATCAGAAAAAGAAAAAAAACATTTTTAAAAGTCTTTTGTTTCTGTATCTTAGGAGCTGGTTTCAATATATATATATATATGATTGGGGGGAGGGGGGAGGCTGGGAAGTGAAGTGAAGAGTAAACAAAGGAGGAGGCTGCAATGCTTGGTAAGAAATGTACGCATTATCCTGCCCATGCAATTGTAACCCCTCTGTACAGTATGTTCACAAATAAAATAAAATTAAATTAAAAAAAATATATATATATATTTATGTAAATGTGAAGTGGTGCATAGGCATTGCACCTTTGTGATTCTCTCCTAAGACTATCCTCTTTTGGTTTCATTGTATGTGAGTATCTAGAATCCTGTGTAATTTGTCATATCCCAGTGCATTTTAGATCGAACTTCAGCATATCAGAGAGAACGTGTGCCATTTGTCTCTCTGATCTTGGCTTACCTCACTTAACATGATTGTTTTAGTTCCATCCATTTCCCTACAAATGAGATTATTTTATTCTAATGGCTGTGTAAAATTCTATTGTATATAGGTATCCCATTTTGGATCCATTGTCTATTGTGGGCCATCTGGGCTGTTTCCATATCTTGGCTATTGTGGCTAGTGTGGCAATGAATAATGATTTGCAGGTGTCCTTATCATATCCTGGTTCATAATGCTTAGGGTAGATGCCTAGGTGTGGTATGGCTAGATTGTAGGAAAGGTCTATGTTTAGTCTTCTGAAGAACCTCCAGAATATTTTCCAGAGTGGTGGTACTAGTTTACATTCCTACCAGCAGTGCAGTAGGGTTCCTTTGTCCCCACATTCCTGCCAGCATTTGTTGTGGTTCAAACTTAAAATGTTGGCCAATCTAACAGGGACTAGATGTAGTATCAGAGTTGTTTTGATTTCAGTACTCTACATGATCTGTGATTGTTCTCTAGTAACAATAGAAATAACCATAGAAATGATCCCTGAAAGTATAGTCTTGGTATTTTTTTTAAACTGTAGAGCTAAGCTTCAGATGAATAGTTTGTGATAATTTTATGTTAGATTTGGGTTCTTACTCTATATTTTAAAAAGTCCTAAATTTCAGTCTCACTTCTAATAAGCTTTCTCTTCCCAACCAAGCTTTTTGTTCACTCCCTCCATTCTAATTCCTCCACTGTACACTATGGAACTCTAGTTCCACTGTTAAAATCTCTTTTTTGTCCTTTATCTTCAAACTCTTCCCTGAAGATTCACTACATCTCCTAGTTAGCCAACTAAAGAGCCTTTCCTTAGGATACTGCTTGGCTCTATAATCCTATGAAGGCAGAAAAGGAGATCTTCAGCTTTCTTGTGGCGTGATGGGGCCTTCATCACTCCACAAAGGCATTTCTGGACTATTCTTTCTCTACTCCTCTTATAAAAACATTTGCTCACCTGAGCCAAAATTAACAGTACTGTTTTCTACCACATACTATTTCTTGACTGCCTACCTCTGGTCATTTTTCCCTCTTCATTAGACAACAGCCATATCATTCCTCCTCATCACTATACAGCTTGTCACTCAAGAACCTGATCTACTCTTTGGCTTCTTTCCAGGAAGGTTCTCTTCCATTCTCACCATTTGTTTAATGTAAGTATTCCTTGCTAGACTAAACTCCATGAAGATGGGAACCAAAGATGTCTTGTCCGCTGCTGAATCCCTAGCAAAAAGTCTAATATATACACTAGTTAAATAAATTGTTTTTCTAGCCGGGTGTTGGTGGCTCACACATGTAATCCTAGCTACTCAGGAGGCTGAGATCTGAGAATCATGGTTCAAAGCCAGCCCGGGCAGGAAAGTCCATGAGACTCTTATTTCTAATACCCCACCAGAAAAACAGGAAGTGGCACTATGGCTCAAGAGGTGCTAGTCTTGGGCTGAAAAGCTGAGGGACAGCGCCCAGGCCCAGAGTTCAAGCCACCCCCCCAAAAAAAATTGTTTTTCTATCCATACTAAATGCAAAATGAGGGCTACTAAAAGATTGTAAGGTCTGTACGGGGATACCTCCCTCCCTCTTGTCTAAGTTTCTGTCCAGTATCTGTTACCTAGATAACTGGCAGACCTGGAAGCAGTCAACTTCCCCTCCTGCTAGGTCACATCCTAGACCACCTCTGGTCATGCCTCCCATCTGACCTTAGGAGGGTCCCAGACTCTGTGGTCACATCCAGATCCTATGTGGCCACACCTTTCCCCCACCGGGCCACACCTCTTCCTGTCCCTGGCCTAGATAAGTCCTGGTCTGGAGGGGGCGGGGGTCACTCCTTCTTTTTTCAGCCATGCCTCTCCACCATGCATGTCGGGGGCAGCAGTTCGGTAAATAAACTTCTTCTGCCTGAATGGTGCGTGGTGTTCTCTTCATCGGCTACCTAATGAAACTTACCTATTTACTATACCTTACAAAGATCTATTTGCTTACAAGAGTCTCAACAAGGCCAAAGAGGTATTTGGAAACCATATATAAAAGTAATTAAAGGTATTTTTACCTAGAGTATGTATTTGTTAGAAATGAATACCTATCTTAGAATATAAGAAGGTAATTATACAGAAAAGATAAGTCTGACAATTATGATATTTGAGGTAAGGAATTCGCTTTGCTACTAATTAGTGGTCTTGCTTAATATTATTGGGTCTTCAGGTTTTTTTCCTTATCTGCACATTAAAGGAGGTAGGCTTTCTGGATTCTAAACATTCTACTTCACTCAACAAAAAATGGTATATAAGAAGGCAACCTTAGGGGCTGGGAAGGTTGCTCAGTGGTAAAGCGCTTGCCTTGCATGCATGAGACCCTGGGTTTGATTCCTCAGCACCACATAAGCAAAAAGAAAAAAGCCGGAAGTGGTGCTGTGGCTCAAGTGGTAGAGCGCTAGCCTTGAGCTGAAGAGCTGAGGGACAGCGCCCAGGCCCAGAGTTCAGGCCCCACGACCCGACCCCCCCCCCCCAAAAAAAAAGAAAAGAAGGCAACCTTGGCTTGGGATGTTGTTTGGTGGTGTAGTACTTGTCTAACATGTATGGAGAGGCCATAGGCTCAGTCCTCAACACCACAAATAAAAATTTTAAAAATCAAATGTAAAAAAAGAGAGGGAGGTGACAACCTGAGGACTGAACCAAGTCACCTTACAAAAATATTTATACTCTTGAGAATAATTATAAAAGCCCTGCAGCATGATACATTCCCATAATCGCAAAACTCAGGAAACCATAAAAAAGAGGTTTAAAAGTCTAAAACAAGCCTGGGCTGGCTATGTAGTGAGACCTTTTGAATGAAGAACAGGAGAGAGTAGGAGAGGGGAGGGAAGAAAGTGGGGAACTACAAGATCTAGCAGAGCTTTCAAAATGCTTGGATTAGATCCAGGGTTCAGCAACCTATGACCCTTGGGGCCACTGCTGTTAGTATAAACAAAGTGTTACTGGAACATAACCACACCCATTCATCTGAAGTATTGCCTATGGTTGTTTTTCTTCTGTCAAGGCAGAGTTCAATAACTGTGAAAGGAGCCATATGGCCTACAAAGCCTCACACATTTATGATCTGGCATTGTAAGAAAAAGTTTACTGACATCGCCAGAAAGGATCCACAGGTTCCCTTTTACATTTTTACACAGAGGCAATGAAAAGAGTTTCAACAAAATGTTTCTACATGGATAAAAAGCCATGGTTAAAACAGAATGAGGAAAAAGAACATGAATTTAATTCACTCCTAGTGATTATACCAGTATCTCCCTTCAAGCTGGTGACTTGTTTCCTAGTCTCTGAAACCTTCTAAGAATACTCAAGATAAACAAGCATCAAAGGTTCAACACTCACCTGCCTTCCTTTACTTTTTGTGCATTTCCCCGACATATGTAGTTCTCAATGTAACCATCACTACAGTTGATTTTTGACCAATCTGGGTCACAAACATCCAAGAAGTGAGGTCGAAGTCTGCCTATTGAATACTTGGCAATGTCAGTCAGGGACTGACTAGCAGCTGCACCAAACAAAAAGGTTCCAATGGCTTTGTAAATAGTGGCTACGTAGTTATTCCTGATAAAGGAATTTGAGTGCAAGAGGTTAAAGTAAACAGACAGAATTTCTCCAATAACCATCTGAAAAAGAAACAGAAAAACAATGTTAAAATATCAAACAAGCACTTAAAACAAAAACTAGAAAATGGTAAATTACATTAAGTTCTTAAAAAAAAAAACAACAACCCCCCCAAAACAAAACAGCCAAGCTCTTTCCGCACCCCCAAACCTTTTATTTACTTTTTTGGGTTTGGTTGCTTTTGTCTTTACAAAAATAGCCAGCTTAAGCTATCTAATTCTAAACAAAACAAGACAAAGTGCCTGATCAATTGTGGATACTACTTTGCAAAGCCAAGATTAAGTCAAAACCATTTCATAGTGTACCTGAAACACTAAAGCCTATTCCTCTTCTTGCATTTCAAGACAGTGATATATCCCAGAAGACAAAAAATTAACCTATTCAAAGAACAAATTTCCCAGTGACAATCTCCCTCACAATAAACATTTTTGTCTGACAATCTTTACTTTTGTCAAACATTCCTCTGGATCAAAGACATTCGTTAAAACAGTTATAGGGAGCAAACAAGAATAAAAACAAAAACAAAATCCAAAGAAAATCAGTAGCGCTCTAAGACTGAAGCCAGAAGTCCAGACGTCCAGAGGTCTAGAATCAGGTCTCTAAATCGTGCCTTCAAGGAATTCTTTAAGCTCAGGGCCTTATGGAGTTTTGCTACAATACTAAACAACACTTGGTGCTCTTCTTTCCCCAAGGCAACATTTTCATTGATGCTTCCCTTGCTGTATTTTTTTCCCACTAACTTTTCTAAAATCAGGGCTAGAGTTTCTTGTTAACAATGTTGTGAACTATATGGTGCTAATTGTCCCTAGTATGTGTGAATGAACACAAAAGTGTAACAAATTTAAAAGCATTAAAAAGGTGTCTAAGAACTTTACAAGTTCGTAAACCATTACCTTGAGAGATTATAAAAATATTAAATGGCAACATTATAAATAGTGACATCTGCTGATTAAATAAAACAATATTCATCTGAAACTGAAACACATGTTTAGGAAACAGCTTGCTAATTTATATGGAGGCAAAGGGGGAGACTCTAACAGTGTCACTTGAGATACATACTAGTTTTGCTGCTAGAACTAAATTATATAAGCTATTTTTTTTCCTAAGCATTTTCAATGTGAGGATTAACTGTCTTCAGAATAGGTTTTGCTATAATTAAAAGAAATGGCTATATCTTAGAAAGGACTTCAAGAACCTGATACTAAAAATTCTTCATCTGCCAGGTGCCCTTGTCTCATGCCTGTAATCCTAGCTGTAATCAGAAGGCTGAGATCTTAGGATCATGGTTCAAAGCCAGCCCAGGCAGGAAAGTCCATGAGACTCTTCTGTCCAATAAACCACTCAGAAAACTGGAAGTGGTGCTGTGGTTCAAGCGGTAGAACCCTAGCCTTGAGATGAAGAGCTGAGGGACAGCGTTCAGGCCCAGAGTTCAAGCCCCACAACCGAACCCCCCCCCCAAAAATCTTCATCTGGTTCAGTACTCCTAGAATTCCATAATTAGTGTGTTTTAATCTTGACAGCTAGACTATAAACTCCACAAATACAAGGGATTTCTTAAATGCCAAATAAATCGCAAGTACTAATTAAGGGACCTAAACTGAGTAGGTGGGCCAATAAATTTTAATTGAAGGTACTGCCTCTTGGGGGAGAGAGATAGAGACAAACACCTGAGAGAAACAGAGAGAGAGACAGAGACAGACAGACAGAGACAGAGTCTTTTAAACATATGAACATCTATGGAAATATAGTCCTCATGGGAATGAATTTATCAAAACTTTTCAGAGAACAGGTAACAAGAAAGGAAAACTTTCACAATGTTGCTTAGGGTATGAGAGTATACATTGCCTCCTTGAGCTACTGATCAGAAGCCAGAATGAAGTTTGCTAACAGTTCATTATAGAATTGATCTTTGATAGTTAAAAATATAACATGTATATTAAACAACCAAATTTTAGTTGTGGAAACTTCCACATCATAGCTGTCAAATCTTTTCCTTTCTTTTTGCTGCAAACAGTGGCTTGAACTCAGGCCTGGTGCTCTTCTTTGGCTTTCTTGCACAGCTAATACTCTTGCCACTTAAGTCACACCTACAGTCTGGCATTTTGCTGGTTAACTGGAGATGGAGTATCTGAGACTTTACTGCCCAGGCCAGCTTCAAACCTTCATCCCACAAGTTTCATAAGTAACTACAATTACAAGTCTGAGCTACTGACTCAGCTATACTTAAATACTCAACTGTTTTCCAGAAACAGCTTCTGAGCCTTGTGAGTCTTCCTAGTCAGATTCATCATTACTTAGGACCACCCAAATCTTGTTCTTGCCAACAATGAAAGAAAATTGCTTTGCTAGAAACATTCAGAGTGCTGAGTACAGATTACAAGCTGATCTACAATAGCAGCATAGACTGAAACTGAACATTAATGCTGAGATGGTAGGGGACAGTTTAGGCTGCAAGTGCTGGGTTAGCTTACATCATTTTTTATCAAGTGTCCCTCTTTCCTGAGATAAACAGAAAAGAAGTTCCAAATCAAATCATATGATTTAAATGTAGAGTTGTGACTGCCCATCTGGTCTCCATAGCACAGCCAAGTCTCTCTCTCTCTTTTCCATTTTTTTTATCCTATCCTGCATTTAATCCATTTATTTCAGTTTTTGACCTTTGGTGAAGTGTACACTTAAGCCAACTGTACCCTAATTAATCCTGTAACTGAGAAGTCTCTTCATGTCTTATTTACTTAAGACTCTAAGGATACAATAAAATTTTAAAGAACAAAAGGTAATGTTTAGGAGAGCAGAATACTTAGGAAGATCAAAGTTAGTAATTGTTTAAATCATTATGATTCAATCCTTTCAAGTTTATGCCTCATACTATCCTCTCACGATCTCCTTTATATTTCCACTGGGCAGTTTTATATTGTTATATTCTCCCTACAGTTTTATGTCTTTCAGGAAAGAATCAACTTCCCAAAACAATAGTCCAAAGTCCCTGGAAGATTTCTACATCATCTACTCCCTTCCAAATAGCTGTGCCTCGGTTCTTTTGTTTTACTGAGCCTTTCTCAAAAGCCAAAACTGAAGCATCAAACTGAATGGATTTTTATTTATCCCCGTTAGCTTCTCAGTAGTATTTGACTTCAATAAGCATTTCCTCCTAGTCTTGGTCTATTTTTATAATGATAAGAGCGAAAGGGGGAAAATCATGTAACTATGCACATTAAGTCTCCATGAAAGTCTGCTGTTGAGTCTGTAACTGTTCTTGATTTACTTTCTGAAAGTCTGCTGTTGAGTCTGTAACTGTTCTTGATTTACTTTCTAATGACCAAAAGGAAATACATACAAATCTAAATATTGCCTCAAAGAAGTTGCGTTAATGAATAAAGCAGAATTATTTTAAATTAATACATGAAACCACTACCCTAAGCATACTTTGTCCTTGCTGACATTGCTGATATTGAAATAATACTGTTATAGCACTTTTAAATAAATATCTGTTGTTTCTGTGTGTGCTGGTACTGGTGCTTGAACTCAGGCCCTTGCATTCTCTCACTTAGCTGTTTTGCTCAAGGCTGGCATTCTATCACTTGAGCCACATCTCTCTCTTCTCAGTCTCCTGAACAGCTAGAATGACAGGTGTGAGCCACCAGTGCCCAGCACAATTACCTGTTCTTTTAAGAATGTTATGCTTATATTAACTTATTTGTCCTTTTATTAAATGTAAAGATAATTCCCTTAGAAGTTGTTTTGAAAAAATAAGTTCTAAGTTCATAAGCTAGGGCTGTTTTGTTGGGCTCCATGCATGTGGCACAGGCTGTGTATATCCATACAGTAGCCAGCAAAGAGCATGTTCTCTTGCAGCCTTCGACTTTGCAGCAGATTCTCAAGTTTTATTTATACAACATCCTTCTTACTTACAGGAATGTTGAACAGAAAGGTATTTCTAGAACTAACAGAACACACGAATTTTGTCTGATATTAGGTATCAGCTGCAAATAATTCATATTTGCAACTATAAGGCCTACATCTAAAAACTTGTATTTAAATATTTATTTTTGTATTAAAAAACTTTTATTTAAATATTTATATTTTGAAAAAGACAAAAAGAAAAGCCATGCTAGGAGTGTGGCTCAGATAGTAGGTCATCTGACTTGAAGGTGTGAAGCCCTGAGTTGAAACCCTAGTACTCAGTGCAAGGTCATTAGGTACTGAGATCAATTCCCAGGACTGAAGTGGGATGCCGGTTCCTCCTCCCTCTTTAGCTGAACAATCACAGGCTGGCTTGCTAGCTAATAAACACTCAGTGAGTATAAAGATAGGATGGTTTCTTACTGTAAGACCAGTTAACAAGATTGCTGCTGCATAATTACCCCACCACTGCATTACAAAAACGTAGTTTCAGGTAAGGTGCTAAGCCATGACAGGCTCAAGGATAAGCTGAGAGGCAACCAGGGCAAACAAGTAATCATCTTGGCCTTCAAGAGACTCACAGTCTTGTGAAACAAACATTTATATACTAGACATTTTCTTTTAGTAGTTAAATGAACTTTCAAGTCACAATGTATGAGCTGATTAATTTTCATTGCTAATAAGAAGATGCTGTGATCATTTTTAAGGCAATTAACAAGTTGTTAAAAAGTAAATTTAAAAAGATATCTATCTATCTATCTATCATCATCATCATCATCTTGCTATCCTTTCTTTTGGATAGGACCATATTTTCTGCTTTTATTTTTTCAGGGGAGAGTGAAAGGGGCCAGTCCTGGGGCTTAAATTCAGGGCCTGGGTGCTGTCCCTGAGCTTCTTTTATTCAAGAAAAGCACTCTAACACTTGAGCCCCAGCACTACTTCTAGCTTTTTCTGAGTAGCTTATTGGAGATAAAAGTCTCCAGACTGGCTTTAAACAGCAGTCCTCAGATCTCAGCCTCCTAAGTAGCTTGGATTAAAAGCATGAGCCACCAATGCCTGGCTTATTTTCTGCTTCAAATATAAATTTTATTTCTACAGTTACAAGTTATGGATCACAAAACTAAATAATAGAATTTGTGGGTACAGAGATTTTAAACGTATCTCATCTAATAGGAAGTGGCACTGTGGCTCAAGCGGTAGAGAGCTCTATTGAGCTGAAGAGCGCAAGGACAGCGCCCAAGGCCAGAGTTGGAGCCCCACAACTGACAACAACAACAAAAAAAAAAACCCACCATATCTCATCTAATTACAGACATCTTCTACCTAAAGCCATATTATCTGAACATTTCCACCTAAAATGCAAGAAAACAATAGCTATAATGGTTCAAAGAATAACAGTAAAAATCCTTTCATGTTCACTCCTTTCTCTCCCATTTATGGCAATATTGAAACTTTTTTTAAGGTAAACATGGGTTGAACAAAATTTTAATATGAGCTAGCAATTTCTCTTTTCTGGAACTCCGTGACTAAAGAATAGGTAATAAACAAAGATACAATAAATTATGAATTAATATCTTTTATATAAAATATGCTAGAAGTAAATCAGTAACCACACATTACTGAAACAGTAAATAGGTTTGCCATAATGGCATGAAAAAAGATTAGCATGAAAACTACATATATTCAGTAGGTTTCTTCCAATTATGCATTGTCATTCTTTTGGCCTCATTAAAATAACTAAGATTATCTTAATCAAATAACCTTCAATTAAAGGTTAAACAGTACACAGTTTGTGATATATTACACATTTAAATATAACACAAAATTAAGCCAAGTGCTCAAATGTTAGAAACTTGGAAAAGTGATTTAACTTACAACGATAATACTGAATGGAATGATTATTCCACCTAATAACGCATAAGGTATGGTGTCTTCTTTGTAAGGGTACTTGATGGACTCATCATTACAGAATACTCCTCGTTGGAAGGGGGCATGCCTTGAAGTAAGAATTGCAAAAGGCAATCCAGCTAGCAAAAGGGAATAAATGAAAATATCATTAAAAGTTATCAAAATTGATTAATGGCAATTACTATCCCAGAGATTGTTTAAAAATGCATTTGCCATGAAAATAAATAAGAGCACATGTAAAAAGGAAATGTAGCAATGCATGCAAAAGAAGTTAGAAGAAGTACAGTTTGGGGTAAATAATTTTTCTACAAGAAACAAAACTTTCAAGTCCTCTATTAGCCAATTTAACAAGGAACGTCCTTCTGTCCAAATACACTAAATAGATTTTGGGGGAAATCTCCCATACTCTTGTCATTTAATTGCCAGGTTTTCAATACTATTACCCAACTAATTTGTCATAGACTTTGTTCCTGAACACAGAATGTTTTCACTTTCCCCATTTTACCACTACGTTGCCCTCACATTTGGAGAGGTCAGGATCACTGTTGGTTTTTTTTTTGTTTTTGGGTTATTTTTTTTTTTTGTCCGTTGTGGGGCCTGAACTATCGGCCTGGGCGCTGTCCCTCAGCTTTTCAGCTCAAGGCTAACGCTCTATCCCTTGAGCCAAAGCTCCATTTCTAGCTTTTTCTGCTTATGTGATGCTGAGGAATTGAACCCAGGACTTCATGCATGTAAGATAAGCACTCTACCACTGAGCCACCTTCCCAGCCCTCAGGATCACTGTTTTAAGCTAACAGAGTATCTAAATCAAGGTTTATCCATTCATTTCTGTACTAATCAAGAGAAGATTTATTAGAGTTGCTATGGAAGAAGTCTAAAGCTAAATTTCTTAAGATGGACAATGGTGTCAAGAACAAAACTGCATAACAAATACATAGCAAACCACATAACAAAAAGACATTTATCATTAATGTTTTCTGTAAAGATAATGCCTCACATTCATCTGCTAAATACAAACTTTACCTAAATGTGAACTTTAATAATACTTCAGTTCTCCTTTACTTCACTGAATCTGGCCTACTGATTAATAAATGCTGCAGTATACTTAACTCATATTGGTTGAGAAAGAGATGCACTTTATCATAAACTCTCAACATGAGGTCAACTTCAAGACTAATTATGACTCTCCCTGCAAGTATTCCAGTTCCTTGTAGTATATCAAAGCCACTAAGCAACTGGTTCATTTGTAGGTTCAAGAGCTATCTCTCCATGAAGTACCACATTTTGATGGCCATTTTCAGTTTTCACTAACTATACTAAATTCCTAAATTCTAGTGATAATCAAGGCTCTGCTACCCTGCCCAACTGTACTTATCACAATATCAAATTTGTTCAACCTACAAGATCCAAAACAGAGAAGCACATGAAATCACATCTTTCATCAATAGCTCTTTTCTCTTTCCCATTTTTATTTAAATACTGAATACATGAACCAAAGTTTATTTCCCTATGTGAGCAATTTGCCAATCCTTTAAAAGTCTTTAAAATACTACAATCTTCCTAAAGCTATACTTATAAAATGTACACTGGAAAGCGGGGTGCCAGTGGCTCACACCTGTAATCCTAGCTACTCAGGATGCTGAGATCTGAGGATCATGGTTCAAAGCCAGCCTGGACAGGAAAGTCCAATTAACCATCAGAAAAATGGAAGTGGTGCTGTGGCTCAAATGGTAGAGTGCTCACCGTGAGCTGAAGAGCTAAGGGACAGTGCCCAGGCCCAGAGTTCAAGCCCCACAACCAACAACAACAAAAATGTACACTGGAGTTAACTTTGTTAACTGACCCTTATACTAAGTACCCCCTATATCCAAAGACAGAGAAATGGGATGAAACATCCAAGCCTTCAATACATATATCATGGCTTTTAATACAACTTCAAAACTGCATAAACCTTTTGCACTTATTGGTTCACATTATAGAGGTAAATAAACCCAGTGGTGGATTTAGTTGCTAGCTGCCCTATACAGTAGTAAGCATTTAGCCTTTAACTAACAACCTTATGTTGCTAAGCAAATGAACAATCTTATTTTAGACTTAGAGCAAACCATCATTTCTATAGCTCATTTTACTCAAAAGAACTCAATACAAAATAGTGGAAACATTTACTATTTACATAGCACATTTCTGACTGAATTAGCTGCATTTTAAGAGCTAGGAATATTAAAGTGGTAAACTGAGTGAATCCACTGTGCAAAGAATTTTGCTAGGTGCTACTAGAAATACTAAGCTCAATAAAGCATACTACATAATTATAGCAAAGAAAATAGAGATATATGGAACTTCCAGAGCTCAAGGGGAGGAAAGTTGATCTGAATCTTAGAAGAAGTCTGGAAGAGAGATACAGGTTTGGGAATACAAAGGCTCTCTGTAGTTGCAAAGATGTGAGATACTGTATAGGACAGAATAAAGTGAAAAAAAGCACAGGGCAACAGTGATATTAAAGAGAAGAGCAGAAAAACACCCATGATAAGCTGAAGGGAGTTAGGAAGACGTAACATCACCAAGCCCACGACTGGCACCTGGCCCACAATTTCTTGAACTTTCTCTTCTGTACAAATACTTAGGACTCTGGAACCATACATAACAAATACTTACAAACTGTTTTTCTTTCTTTCTTTCTTTCTTTTTTGGGGGGGGTGCTATTTCTGGGCCTTCTGGATACCATCTCTGAGCTTTATTGCCCAAAGCTAGTACGCTACCACTTGACCCAGAGCTACACTTTCTTCTTTTGGGTGGTTAATTGGAGATAAGTGTCTTACAGACTTTCTGGCCTCACTGGCTTTGAACAACAATCCTCAGATCTCAGCCTCCTGAGTAGTTAGGATTACAGGCATGAGTCACCAGCATCTGGCACAAACTACTGTTTTAGAAGGACTGATGGCAGGGTGTCTAGCAAGATTTTGTAAAACTATGGTTACCCTTTCATAGCTGGGTGCTCATGTACAGCTGAGAGCAGAGGCCAGGTCCTGAGTTCAGTACATACACACACAAAAAACCCTATTATAGGTAGAAAGAACTCTGTTAATATTAATGAAAACTATATAAATGTCTCCACAAAATAATGCTTTAAAATTATTATACTTTTTAAGGCCACTCGAGGCCAACATCTGAGAATCAAAGTTTGAAGCCAGCTTGGACAGGAAAGTTCATTAAGCTGTTATCTTCAATAACTACCAAAAAGTAAGAAGTAGAGATATGACTCAAGAGATAGAGTACTAGCCTTGACCAAGAAAGCTAAGGGACAGAGTCCAGGCCCTGAGTTCAAGCCTCGGTACTGGCACCAAAAAAAAAAAAAAAAGATTTTTTTCCCCACACAATTAGAAAATCCACACTGTACAATATATTTATATTCTGTTCTTATTTAAAATATTCCTTTATATAGACATTAAACATCTCAGATACCCAGTAGTCAATGACATGTAATTCCAGAGCCCATAGTAGCAAACCATTAAGGGATATGCTGACTCAGGGCTAAATGCAGCAGGCAGCAGGTTGAACAATCTTGACACACTAATGTCCAGAGCCTGGATATTTGTTGCAAGGAAACCACATCAGGAACCAATTAATAGGCTGGAAAATGAAATGACTCCATTGGCTGACCAAAGAGTCCATTAAAATAAAAAAAAAGAGGATAGTGTCCATTTGTAAAGTATTTCAGCAATCATATTCTCTTCATAATACCTAAATAAGAGAAAAAGGATGTAGATGGAGGTTAGAAGCCTAAAAAACCCAGAGGTACAGGCTATACTATATAATAGTGGGTAGACTGTTATTTTTGCCATCTGACTGTACCCCTTGACAAAACAAACATGTGATGCATGTATTTAGTCTACCTTCTCTGTTAGGTCATTTGAAAATCTACCTTTATTTATTTACCAATGGGGAAAATTCCAAATGTGCAGTAGTAAATTTTGAAAATACAAGTTGGGGCTGGTGGCATTCAGCTAGAGCATAACTTATATATGAAGCCCTGAGTTGAAGCCTAAGCACCAAAAACATGAAAAATAGAAGTAAAAATACAGGAGGCAAAAAATACTGGAAGTAAAGTTCAATGGTAGAGTATTTACTTGCCTGACATATATGTAGCCCACAGTTTGGTCCCAAGTACCATAAGAAGAAAGGAAGAAAGGATGAAAAGAGGAAAGAAGGGAGGGAGGGAAAGAGGGAGAGAACAAAGTAAGTTATCAAAAGATATTAATTAGTGAGCACATAAAATATAATCCTGCTACTAAAAGAGCACAAAGAACGTGTCAGTACTGTGCTTCTTTTCCTCTTTTTTGCTTATATTAAGAAAATGAAACTCTCGTGACTGCTAGAGTATCTGTCCTGTTCATGAATGAAACTGGGGCACATGGGGATAACATGAGAAAACATAGCTCAGAAACAAAGTATCAGAAACAAAAATGACTACTGAACTATATCAAAAAGCAAGAAGCAGGTGTGAGGATGAATGCCTATACTCCCAGAAATTGGAAGACTGATGCAGGATAACCAGGAGTTTGGGGACAACCTGAACACTAAATGGTAAAACATTATCCAACAAAACAAACAAACAAACAAAAAAAAAGCAAGAATCAAAAGAAGAGAAAAAAGTCTACATAACTGAAAAACTATATAGCTATGTAACTGAAGATCTTACCGGACTACCACATGAATGTATTTCCTTTCCTGTAAGCAGTTCAGAACAGTGACTTTATGCATCATGTACACTTCTTAGGTAACTTGGAGTATACCTTATTAATATTACTCTTTCTAGCAGCAAAAATTTTAAAAACTGAAAAATACTTATTTTCAGATCTACAGTGAAAATTACAACTAATATAAGCTGAAGATTAAAAAAAAGTTTATTTGGTTAAATCTAACAGAAAGACCTGTAATTCAGTATAATACTGTGAAGCAGTTTAATATTTAACACACTTGAACACAATTCAGTGTATACTCCAAAAGTGTATACACCAAAAGGCATCCAATTCTTACAAATTCCAGAAACTTAAAAATATTTTTGTTGACATTAAGGAACATTTCATTTACAAACTTGTAACACAGCTAAGAAATTGAG